AAACATTCCATGCTCATGGATAGGAAGAATCGATAGTGTTAAAATGGCCATACTGCTCAAAGCAATTTACAGATTTAATGCTATTCCTATCAAACTGCCAATAACATTTTTTACACAATTAGAACAAACTATTCTAAAGTTCACATGGAACTGAAAAAGAGCCTAAGTAGCCAAAACAGTCCTAAGCAAAAAGAACAAAGCGAGAGACATCACACTACCTGATTTCAAACTGTACTACAAGGCTACAGTAACCAAAACAGCGTGATACTGCTACAAAAACAGACACATATACCTATGGATTAGGTTAGAGAACCCAGAGGTAAAGTTGCACCCCTGCAACCATGTGGTCTTTAACAAAAACAGACTGGGGGAAAGGATGCCCTATTCAATAAATGGTGATAAGATAACTGGCTAGCCATATGCAAAAGATTGAAAGTGGATCCTTTCCTTTAAGTGTATACAAAACCCAACTCAAGATGGATGAAAGACTTAAATGTACATGCCCAAATTATATTATAAAAACCCTAGAAGAAAATCTAGGAAATATGGTTCTGGACATAGGCCCTGTCAAAGATTTCATGATGAAGACTCCAAAAGCAATTGCAACAAAAACAAAAATCGACAAATGGGACCTAATTAAACTAAAGAGGTTGGGTGTGGTGGTTCACACCTGTAATCCGAGCACTTTGGGAGGCTGAAGGGTGGATCGCTTGAGATCAGGAGTTCAAGACTAGCCTGGCCAATATGGTGAAACCCCATCTCTACTAAAAATACATAAATTAGCCAGGCATGGTGGTGTATGCTTGTAATCCCAGTTACTTGGGAGGCTGAGGCAGGAGAATTGCTTGAACCCAGGAGGCCGCAGGTGCAGTGAGCTGAGATTGTGCCACTGCACTCTAGCCTGGGCAACAGAGCTCAAAAATAAATAAATAAAAATCAATTAAAGAGCTTCTGCACAGCAAAAGAAACTATCAACAGAGTAATAGGACAGCCTACAGAATGGGAGAGAATATTTGCAAACAGTGTATCCAACAAAGGTCTAATCTCCAGAATCCATAAGAAACTTAAATTAACAAGCAAAAAACAAACAACCGCATTAAAAAGTGGGCAAAGGACATGAACAGACACTTGTCAAAAGAAGACATAGACATGGCCAACAAGCGTATGAAAAAATGCTCAACATCACTAATCATTAGAGAAATGCAAATCAAAACCACATTGAGATACCATCTCACATCAGTCAGAATGGCTACTATCAAAAAGTTGAAAAATATCCGATGCTGGTGAGATTGCAGAGAAAAGTGATTGCATATACATTGCTGGTGGGAATGTAAATTGGTTCATCCACTGAATGCAGTTTGTAGATTTCTCAAATAACTTAAAGCAGAACTACCATTTGACCCAGCAGTCCCATTACTGGGTATATACCCCCCAGGGAATATAAAGACACATGCACACATATGTTCATCATAGAACTGTTTGCAATGGTAAAGACATGGAATCAACCTAGATGCCCCTCAGTGGTGAACTAGATAAAGAAAATGTACATATACACCATTCAATACTACACAGCCATAAAAAAGAATGAAATCATGGTCTTTGCACCAACATGGATGGAGCTGGAGGCCATTGTCCTAAGATAATTAACGCAGGCACGGAAAACCAAATACCGCGTGCTCTCTTTTATAAGTGGGAGCTATACATTGAGTACACATAGACATAAAAAGGGAACAACAGACAACAGGGGCTACTTTTTTTTTTTTTGAGACAGAGTCTCGCTCTGTCTCCCTGGCTGGAGTACAGTGGCCCGTTCTCAGCTCACTGCAAGCTCCGCCTCCGGGGTTTACACCATTCTCCTGCCTCAGCCTCCCAAGTAGCTGGGACTACAGGCACCCGCCACCTCGCCCGGCTAGTTTTTTGTATTTTTTAGTAGAGATGGGGTTTCACCGTGTTAGCCAGGATGGTCTCGATCTCCTGACCTCGTGATCCGCCCGTCTCGGCCTCCCAAAGTGCTGGGATTACAGGCTTGAGCCACCACGCCCGTCCAACAGGGGCTACTTTTGAGGGTGGAGGATACAAGGAGGGTGAGGATCAAAAAATTACCTGTTGGGTACTGTGCTCATCACCTGAGTGATGAAATAATCTGAGTGCCAAACACCTGTGACATGCAATTTATCCATGTAACAAATCTGCATGTGTACCCCCTGAACCTAAAGTAAAAGTTGGGGGAAAGAAAAACTGAGTCCAAGGGAAAATAAGAAGGTAAAAATGTTTAATGATCATTTATGCCCAAGTATTAACACATATTCTCTACTCCAAATCCATGAAATTATTTTTAGATCTTCTTATCTGGGATAAAATGCTGCTTATTGTATTCTGCTACTTTCAGTGTGTTTTTTGAGGCCATCTGAAATAAGGGCTTTGCTTTTATAAGTTATCTTTTTTAGCTAAGACAGATGTTCTTGACAAACAGGTGTTCTGAATCTTTATTTTAATTTTTAGTTTTCCCCGATCCTTTGAAATACTGAGCTGAGTTTTACATGTGTCAACCTGTTTGAAAGCATAATGCTTTTTTTTTCTTAAATTATAAATTTACATGGGATTTTAGTTGCCAGTTATTTTAGTACCTTCATTTTGTTAGATAGGCTCAAGCAGCTGTGGATGTTAGGCAAGGCTTTCAACACCTTGTAAAAATCTGCCAGATCTGAAAGGAAGCACTTAGCAGGCAAGTAAAATTTTTAATAGATTAGTGTTATGAGTTGTATAAGTCTTTAGGTTAATGGTACAGGTTTAGTACCCCTTAAATGAAATGCTTGCAACCAGAAGTGTTTCAGATTTTGGGTACTTTTGGATTTTAGAATATTTGCATATATATAATGAGATATCTTGGGGACAGAACCCAAGTCTAACATGAAATTCATTTATGTTTCATGTATATCTTTTTTTTTTTTTTTTTTTTTTTTTTTTTTTGAGACGGAGTCTCGCTCTGCCGCCCAGGCTGGAGTGCAGTGGCCGGATCTCAGCTCACTGCAGGCTCCGCCTCCCGGGTTCACGCAATTCTCCTGCCTCAGCCTCCCCAGTAGCTGGGACTACAGGCGCCCGCCACCTCGCCCGGCTAGTTTTTTGTATTTTTTAGTAGAGACGGGGTTTCACCGTGTTAGCCAGGATGGTCTCGATCTCCTGACCTCGTGATCCGCCCGCCTCGGCCTCCCAAAGTGCTGGGATTACAGGCTTGAGCCACCGCGCCCGGCCTCATGTATATCTTATACACATAGCCTGAAGGTAATTTTTATATAATATTTTAAGTAAGTTTGTGTGTGAAACAAAGTTTGCATACATTGAACCATCAGAAAGCACAGTTGTCACTGTCTCATGTGGACAATCTGTAGTTGTTTGGCACCACCATCATTCCTGGCTCTAAATTCATATGCTACTGACAAGCAATCATTTTGTTACACTTATTCACAAATTCACACGTAAGAACTTAACAAAAATTATGACATACCATCAATACAGCGGAAAAATAATGTGTACAGGGTAACTAGACAGGACAGTAGAATCACCAGAATAGAAGTGTCAGCTACTACACAACAGCAACAACAAAAAATGGCAGCTTTCAGTCTCTGCTTTTGATGCTATGTTTTCATTAAAAGCCTACTGTACCCTCTATTTTATGTCTTTAGGTGAGAAGAAATGTCAGAAGCAGTTGAGGGACTGGAAGTGGGTCCTCTGGGGATGAGGAGGCATTCTGTTGGATGACTTCTAGAAATGTTTTCTATGGAGTCATCTGCCTCATTAACAAGTTTTTGTCTTAGAAGTCTTTTTTTGATTTTATAAACTGACATGATTTCTTTTTCTGTTATGACTGTATGCTGCTTTAGTCATTTACTAGGCCCATCACACATTTTTACCATGCCATCTATAGGCACTTTTTCTGCTGAGTTAACAACACCATCTTCATTGTCATTTTTACAGATTGAGTATCCCTTATCCAAAATACTTGGGACCAGAAGTGTGGAGTTTTCCACTTGTGGAGTTGTGTCAGCACTCAAAAAGTTTTGGATTTTGGAGCATTTTGGATTTTGGGTTTTTGGATTAAGGATGTTCAACCTCTACTAATTCTCCTCAAATTAGCATAAATTTAAAATAATGATACATCCAAAGACTCTGAAAAGAATTGAAGGCCATTTTTGGGGGAAGAGGGAAAGGGCTGGTGTCATCTACAGACTATTTTGAATCACAGATTTATGTTTACCGTGATTGTTAGCTAAGACTTAATCTCAAATGGTTTTAAGTTTTTTGGTATTTGTAGTCCTTTTTTTTTTTTTTGTCCTTTTTAGGGATGTGCCTGCCTCAGCCTCCCAAGTAGCTAAGACTCGAGGTACATACCACCATACCATACCCGGCTAATTTTTACATTTTTTTTTGGTAGAGACAGGGTATCACTATGTTGCCTTGCCTGGTCTCAAACTCCTGGCCTCCCAAAGCACTGGGATTACAGGTGTGAGCCACAGTGCCTGGCCTGTAGCTCCTTCTTCTTCTAATACTGAGTTACTATTACTACGTTTATGTTCAGATATTTTTGGTGTTGTGTGCATTTGTAAATCCTATTAATTTAGAATACATGACTCTCCATGTTCAGTGTAAAAGATTTGTTATTTATAATAAGACAAATCCTTTTAGCACTAACAAATTTCAGAGGTTAATTCTTAGAAATCCAGGGATTACAGCAAATTTGATAGCTATTTAGTTGATAAAGATAAATAAGAAAGTATATTGTTAATGATAGTTCAAAGAGATGAATTTAGTTGGTCCCATTAAAAACATAACAAAGTCACCGTAAGTGTGTGCTGCTATCGATCCAATGTTTTAACTGATGGTGTCAAATCCCTTGGTGTTGATCTTACCCATTACGTCTGCAGAAGAGACCTAATTATAAGCTGCTTCCCCTGCCACAACAGTTGTGTACCCTCTGATTGCTTTTCTTTTTTCTAATGCAGGCCAGACGGTTTTGCTGTCTCAGCCTACTGTGGTACAACTTCAAGCACCTGGAGTTCTGCCCTCTGCTCAGCCAGTCCTTGCTGTTGCTGGGGGAGTCACACAGCTACCTAATCACGTGGTGAATGTGGTACCAGCCCCTTCGGCGAATAGCCCAGTGAATGGAAAACTTTCTGTGACTAAACCTGTCCTACAAAGTACCATGAGAAATGTGGGTTCAGATGTAAGTTTTGAAACTTAGTGCTTCTCTTAATGCCTGATTTAAAAACCAACAAAAAACACCTTTTGCTTTTGTTGCCTTTTTTTTTTTTTAGAGTTTCTTATATTGCATCAAATAAAAGAGTGTGCTGAATTGCACATCTAGTCTTTGGAGGAAAATTAGGGTAAGGCTTACTATGTTAGAATCTAAGTGAAAAGGTTTTTGAAAGTCTGAAGTGGTTTGATGAAAAGCGAAGTATGCATACCTCCCTCTTCTTTACTTCTTCTTTAGAACCAACCCTCTTATTACTCTTTTCAAGCCCTTACACCCTCAACCCAATCATCCATTAATATTTTACAGATTCAAAGTTTCCTGATTGAAATGTTTTAGCAACTCTTCAGATAAGAGTCTATAGACTACTTTTTAGGCGGGTTTTATATTTAGCTTTCTTCCTTGCCCTTTTGAAGGGTTTTCACCACTTCATGATGATGACTTGCTACTCCTAGGAATTCTGTCTGTTCGTGATTATTTGGTACTTTCCCATTTTTGCAAACCTTTAAATTTTCTAGCATGTTGTAGGGATTTCTTATGATTTGTAAATCAATTGGTTTCCTAAGACCTGTCACTCTCTAAAGCCAGTGACCGCACTTGTGAACTAACTCTTGCTTTCTTTCAAAATGATTGGAAATAACTCATGTTATGTATTAAACAGTAATTGAACATTTTGGTCCTAAAATTTAATGAATGTTATATAGTGAAACAGTGGATTCTCTAAAGTTATGATTGGGAAAGCAAAGTGTGTATGTTTTCTTTAAAATAAAAATGGATACTACCAGTTGTTAATATTACTTCTTCATCCTTTCTTTAGGTAGAATGCATTTGAAAAGTAATTTTAAAATCCTGTTGGTTATGCAAGGTTGTTTATCAGACTACTGTCTGATCTGTCTACCAGAATTTATTAACCGGCATGTCAGTGACCCATTTAATTATAAGATTGCTCCACAGTAGCATGAACAGTAATCTCAGCCAGCAATATTGTAAGAATTCGTAACAAAGGAATATTGTCTAGTGAAAGTAGAGCATCCAATTTCTAGAATAAGAGTCCCATCGTTTGTATAGGTATTGAAAACAATGCATGTCAAGACATGGAATAGGAAAATTAGTGTTGCTATGAGACTAGAGATCGTGGACAGTACAGGATTAGGCTTGACTGTTATGTTGGTTTGTTTTGAGGACTAGAAGAGGTAAGCACAATGCTTATGGTGTAATAGGCTCTAATACATAGTGTGTGTTTCAGTTGAAGATGAAACAATATGTTGCTGGGATGGGAAGGTGGTGAGCACAGGATAGAGGCAACTGGATTGGCAAAATGTTGATAATCATGGAAGCTGGGTGTTTATTTTTCTATCCTTTTGGTGCATGGAAAAATTTCTACAATATGTAAAAAAAAAAAAAAAATGACAACAACAAAAATCCAAAAGCTTTCTGTGATATTTTCAATTAAAAAGTTGTGTGACCAATAAGAAAAGAGTATGGTTTTCATGGGAGACCAACCAGGTTAAGAATGATGAAAAAGGATTTTTTAAAATAATCCTTTGAAATTTGTTTTTAATACTCTTTAAATTATGAACTTGAATGTTTCTTATATAATACTAAATGAAACTTGCAACAGAAAATATCCAAAGTTGCCTTTATGTAATATGTTAGTACATTAAAAATTTTTTTGTTTTGTTTTGTTTTTTGTTTTTTTGAGACAGAGTCTCGCGCTGCCGCCCAGGCTGGAGTGCAGTGGCCAGATCTCAGCTCACTGCAAGCTCCGCCTCCCGGGTTTACGCCATTCCCAGCCTGCCTCAGCCTTCCGAGTAGCTGGGACTACAGGCGCCCGCCACCTCGCCCGGCTAGTTTTTTGTATTTTTTAGTAGAGACGGGGTTTCACCGTGTTAGCCAGGATGGTCTCGATCTCCTGACCTCGTGATCCGCCCGCCTCGGCCTCCCAAAGTGCTGGGATTACAGGCTTGAGCCACCGCGCCTGGCTAAAATATTTTTATGAAATATTTTAGACATGAAAAAAAGATAAAGACTAATAGAACTTTAAAAATACATAGGTCAACAGTATATCACTGTTGTTAAAAAATATTAACAATATTAATTTAAGTCATCCCAAACATGGAAAAGTCCAGAGAAGCATAGCTAGGATGGGGAGAATATCTAGAAACCATGTCATAGGTAGAGGAGTGGGTTAAGGGTTGGAATGATTCAGTAAACTGAAGAAGAGAGGATGGAAAGTAGACCTGGGAGCCATCTTCCAGGAAAGGAGGGTTGTTATGTGGAAAATAGAATTGTTTGGCTTGTTCCAGAAGAGTTATCTGGAACAGGCGCAGGAAAGATATAGAAAGGTTTCTTCTAAACATGAGGTTTTTGGATACAGTCATTGTATTTAAAAACCAGAAGAGCACCCCCCGCCTTTTTTTTCCCCACTTTTAGGCTTACTGTCTGAATAAAGAGCATCTTAATGTTGGCAATCATCACTATATGCCATTGACCCATTTTATACTCTCTAAACATAGTCCAATTAATTATATGTTGGTCTATTACCCAGACATCCTTTATTAGTTCTCTGGTGTGAAAGACCGTGTCTGTTCAGCTTTTGTACTCTTAAGGGGGCTCTGTAAATTTAAAGTATTTTTAATGAACTATTTTAGACATGAAAAAAGATAAAGATTAATTAGAACTTTAAAAATATATAGGTCAACAGTATATCACTGTTAAAAATATGAGAAAATATAGAACCAATAAATACTGCTAGAAACAAAAGCTAATACTTATTAGTTCTATGTTTTCCTATCTCACACATCCCCCAGTTCTTCCATGTTAATTGAGACTTTGTCAGCAAAGTCTCAATGTATGAATGTAAAATGTATGAGTGTGTACATTTATTGTATGAATGTGCATTTAGATTGTTAATTTTTTAACAGTGATATACCATTGACCTGTGTATTTTTAAAGTTCTAATTAGTCTTTATCTTTTTTTGTGTCTAAAATATTTCATTAAAAATACTTTAAATTTACAGAGCCCCCTTAAGAGTACAAAAGCCGAATAGACACAGTCTTTTCAAAGTTTAGAACTGACAGGATTATAAAAGAAAGAAAGATTCAAGTACTTTATGTTTAATGCAAAGAGACCTAAGGACAATTAGAATAATTTTCTAGTCAACCTGCATTGAGGTTTTTGTGCTTATTTTTACTTGGCCAGCACATTGAGACATGAGCCAAGCCTTTCAACATGAGGGTTTTTTTTGGTAGAAATTTTGACTGAATGTTTATTTCAAGTAAAGAAACATTAGTCTATCCTAGCAGCAGGCCAACCCACTCAGGAACCCAAAGTAAATCTGTTCCAGAAGGTGTCGCAGAGCAGAACTTTGATCAGAACTTTGATAGTCTTCTGCATTAGTAACTTTGTTGACCTCAGTATTACATGTGTCTGTTAAAACACTAGTCCTGTTAAATTAGGATAAATTTGAATTAATATAAATTCCTAATTTAAAATGGTCAAAAAGAAAATGTTTTTATCGTATACTTTTTGTACTTTTAAACCAAAAGTATGGTAAAAAAATTATAAATCACCAAGAAAAAAATCATATCAGTTTTTTGTGGCTTTGTAATGCTGACATGGCTTCTTTTTCTACCTTTTTTAGTTCTTTTGTTTGGCTGATTTCACTCTCTAGAGGCCTGCTACTGCCATAAGTAGTGTTTTTAGCATACCATATTCTGCAAACTGCATTAAATGCCACATTTTCTGTTATGAAACAGTTTGCCTGGTTCAAATTATAATCTTACTCTTCCTGCCTTTTGCTGGCAAATCTGTTTTGTTTAACTCTTGGAGACCTCACCTAAGTTTTCAAGAAATATGGTTTGTTTTTGACTGTGATCCTGATGGAAAAAATGAACATGATCTCTCATTTCAGTGTAGAAGTTCTCTGTGCAGTTTCTTAATAATGGCAATCTTGGAACTACAAAGTTGACTTTATAGGAGAGCATGCTTATCTTTCTTTAAAGGGCTATTTAATGTTGCCACACGTCAAACCAAGGGCTTAACAACAAGCAGTCTGTTTAAATCTGCATTGCACTCACTACTTCCACCTACCCATCATAATCCCATAAAGTTTATGAAACATTACTGCCCTGGTTTTAAGGTTATAGGAATTACATTGTTTTAGTTATTGGCACAAAAGACCAGAAAAAAAAGTGGTAAAATTCTACATTTTCCACAGTGGGCCACATTGGAGCAAATACTTTTAGTGGAAATCACCAAGTGGGAATAATGGAAAGAAAAGTTTCCAGAACTAACACAGAACTAGAAATAACCTCAGATGTGAGGTTGATGAAGGAATACAAACTACCGTTAGGAGCCTCCTTCCTTCCGGCTCAGTCACCGCACTGAATACCTTCCAAACTCTTCATCACCTTTCACCCTGTTTCTAAATCCTATAGTTAGGAAACTTGATCCCCTCCATCCCAAAGTGACTACCTTTTGGGAGTCCCTGCCTTGGGTTCCTAGAACCATCATGAGAAGGCAGGTGCTGGGGGGAATCCTTTTCTACTGGTTTGCAGGTATTAGAAATGGCATGAAGGGGATTCTCCTGTCATACCAAATTGGAACTTTGTATATCCTTTCTCTAGAATTGGTGTACAGTTAATTTAGGGATTTCAGGTATTTTTAGTATTGTTCTATGGAAGTGATGTGATATGGGCCTAGATGGGTGCCCTGCACACAGTGTTCCTCTCTTGCAGTGGAGGAACGTGAGCTTGGAGAATCTATCATGCTTATAGCAAGCAGAAAGCAAGCCTCCTCATTGTCCAGAGGGAGATTTCATCTCATCCTTCAAGGTTGCTTGTTGGTAACTGAACCTTGAGAATGGCCTGAGAAAAGAGTGATCCGGGCCTTGCATTCTTTGCATACCCAATAAGACGTGTAGGAGCAAAACTCATAAGAGACTCCCTGGAGGTGTGTTTCTCAAGAAAAT